TACGTTCTGTTGTCTCGTTGCTGGCTTTGTCTTTGGTTTATGTCGGTTTTATATAACGTAACTTATCATTATTATATTTCACGACAAGGGATGTTAAAGAAAAGACTGAAGATTTTAGACAGAATAAAAAGACAAAGGCAGCAACGACACAAGTGAAAGTATTGAATACCAGTTCACTGAACATACTTATTCAAAATTATAACAGCCTTGCCGTACAGACGACACACAGCGCTACAACGATCACATCGCTGTAAAGATGCACGCACCGCCCTTCACCAGTGCTTAGAATAAACTGAAGTCGCCGGCCAGTTGCGGCCGACCACGATAATTAGGTCCTATCAGCTGACGTATTAGAGCTGCCAGATTATCAATGTTATCAATTACAACACGGACACATGGTATGCCAAGTTCTTTAAAAACGGCTGTTCAGCCCATTAGTCTTCTTAAAATCTGCACTGGATACATAATTCTAGCGTTTGGATTACTTCTCGTAACAGAACATTCGGGAACTGTGCTTGCTTCCATTGGAAATCTGGTGGCTCTAATTCTCAACCGCGATCGGTAGCCGGCCGGTCAGCCGGCGCCTTCAGTCTGTTCCGAGCGCTGGTGAGGGGTGCTGCGTGTATCTTCTACAGCGAGGTGATCATTGAAGCGCTTTGTGTCGTCTATACGGCAAGTCTGTTATAAGTTTGAATAAGTATGTATTGTAAACTGATATTCAATACGTTCTGTTGTCTCGTTGCTGGCTTTGTCTTTGGTTTATCTATGTCGGTTTTATATAACGTAACTTATCATTATTATATTTCACGACAAGGGATGTTAAAGAAAAGACTGAAGATTCTAGACAGAATAAAAAGACAAAGGGAGCAACGACACAAGTGAAAGTATTAAATACCAGTTCACTGAACATACTTATTCAAAATTATAACAGCCTTGCCGTACAGACGACGCACAGCGCTACAACGATCACATCGCTGTAAAGATGCACGCACCGCCCTTCACCAGTGCTTAGAACAAACTGAAGTCGCCGGCCAGTTGCGGCCGACCACGATAATTAGGTCCTATCAGCTGACGTATTAGAGCTGCCAGATTATCAATGTAATCAATTACAACACGGACACATGGTATGCCAAGTTCTTTAAAAACGGCTGTTCAGCCCATTAGTCTTCTTAAAATCTGCACTGGATACATAATTCTAGCGTTTGGATTACTTCTCGTAACAGAACATTCGGGAACTGTGCTTGCTTCCATTGGAAATCTGGCAGCTCTAATTCTCAACCGCGATCGGTAGCCGGCCGGTCAGCCGGCGCCTTCAGTCTGTTCCGAGCGCTGGTGAGGGGTGCTGCGTGTATCTTCTACAGGGAGGTGATCATCGCAGCACTTTGTGTCGTCTGTACGGCAATGGTGTTCTGTTATAATTTTGAATAAGTGTGTATTGTAAACTGATATTCAATACGTTCACTTGTCTCGTTGCTGGCTTTTTCTTTGGTTTCTTTATGTCGGTTTTATATAACGTAACTTATCATTATTATATTTCACGACACGGGATGTTAAAGAAAAGACAAAAACGGCTGTTCAGTTCATCAGACTTCTTAAAATCTGCACTGGATACATTATCCTAGCGTCTCAATTACTTCTCGGAACAGAACATTTGGGAACTGTGCTTGTTTCCATTCGAAATCTGGCAGCTCTAATTCTCAACCGCGATCGGCAGCCGACCGGTTAGGCACGGGATGTTAAAGAAAAGACTGAATATTCAAATATTCTAGTGCAATGATTGTTACCATTGTTTTTAAAATCTAACAATCATTGCATTAGAACATTTGAATATTCAGTCTTCTTTAAGGTCCCATGTCGTGAAATATAATATTGCCACCACACGCAGCGAAATCTCAAATCGGTTTTCAGATATTGACAAACTCGGACCCTCCAATATTAGATAATGTTAGCTGTTCTCCAAAGCCAATGCAGATATTTAGGACGAATATTCGAAACACCAGGTGCTTTTTATTTATGGTACCTTTGGAAAGCACTGCGGCTTTCTTCCTCAGCCTAGACAGTTAGACACACATAGAATCAAATCAAAATTAACAATTCATCCTAGTCGTTCGTTTCGTGATATTAAAGGAAGACTGCCACCTTCAAAAAGTTTTCTCAGATCGGCCCATGATTTTTTCCCTGGATAAAACGAAATTTTAGAATTCACCTGGCAAGCTATCATCACGTGAATCGCGTAAAAAAATTATCGATTATCATAAATTATCAATCGGATAATGTCTAGCGACAATGTTGACACATCACTAGACTTCAAGGTCATAAGATATGGAAGCGGGTTTTGTCGCCATAAACGGCGCGCATGTTACAATTGAAATATACAATGATCCTTGCTTTGGTTATGTATGTCGTGTTTACGCTTTTGGAATTGCCTGTTTTAATGAGTTATGTTATCTATATCTTAAAATATTCCAATTCTGATTCATCTGATAGGTATATATATACATGTATTTTGGCATGTGATATTAAAAGCTAGACTATTTCCAGGTTTATATGAATAGTGATAGACTAAGTTGAGACAAGTGCTATTTGAATAACAAATACCTATGGTATTGGAAAAATTGTCATGAATCTGATAGTGTTTCCATTCTAGCACCAATTTCCCAGTCTTCAAAGTGCGGCAGGGAGCTCAATCCGTGACAAGATGTTTGGGACAGTCAAAACATTGCCCCAAGCGGAATGCCGAGACCTGGGCAACCAAATTCCTTTCATGAGGGCCCCTCATGAATATGATGAAAATGATATAATGATGAAGTGCATCATTTAATAAGTATGAGAAGCGAAATGAATCAATGCTGTGACAAGCTTTCAACTTCTGCCCCAGATTTCCTTGCTTCTGCCCCAAAATTCCTCAAACCTGCCACAACCTGTGGTGTGTGCCCTGACAACATATTGTCAAGACCTGCCACGTTTTGCAGACTGGCCCATTTCTGTATGCCTACCTTCCAGGTGAAGATGCCTGGTGAGCGAGGGAGAGGACGAGGACGGGTGAGGAGAGGAGGTGGTCGAGGGGCAAGAAGAATTCTCAACTTTTCACCCACCGCCCAGCCCGAGCCCCAAAGGTAAATAACTGAATGTTTCTTACGATGCGATGTGAAAGTATGAAACAATTGTTAATATTTATTTAATTGCCATGTGTGGCCTAGCCTTTATCTAGGTTGCTAGCCAATATATATTTTAAGGTGATTATTGCAATTAAAATTATCATGTACCTACCTTGAAAAGTCAGGTACACTACAAGCAGAAATAATACAACCTAATCTAACCTTACCTAACCTTACCTAATGTAAGATAATCTCACCTGACTCATTGTGTGGTTTGGTGGAAGTTATAAATGTTTTGTGAAAAAAATATGGTTAGTACACAAAACATTTCTAAGGATGTGTTCTTTCTAATCATGTTTTAATTTTGTGAGTCTCTTCATTTTCTAAAGAGTGCAAAAGGAGGTATTCAACTCTGCTCATGATAATTCAAAAGGAATTCTTAAATACAATGCACCCATAAATCACTGATTTTCACTTTGTGGTTCATCAGAAAACACATTCAACATTATTGTCTTTCTATAATGAAAGATGGCACTAAAACATGAACCACTTTTCTTTCAGAAAAGTGGTGCTAGGTGAACTTGATACAGGTGAACTTATTACTTAATACTTAGGACACATGTCTTGACACAAGTCTTGATCTTATCGTGGGAGGCGGCTCGGGTTGGAGATACACGTACACTGGTTATTAGGGAGACCATTAGGTACCGTTAATGATTTTACATTGCTGTGCGATACGAGGTTGTACCTAGTGATGTTGCGTCATTTGTGGACTTCCCCCCTGCGAGTTGTCTGGTCCTAGGATTTCATGCACATCTTCCTTCACTTCAAACTGGGATTTACCGGTGACGTGTTTTCTCTGTGTGCGCCAGGTGTACCAGTGGAAGCTCCTGCACCACGTCTTTAAGGACCACCTTGTGATGCTGAACCCGGTGCACCTTTCCCTACAAGTGCACCGTCTGTACGGCCACATTCGCATATGTATACAAACAGTTCGAGAATGACGTCTACAGCCCTCACTCTGTCGTCGCCAAGAAGATTATGGAGTCGTTTGGCCGTAGGAAGGCAGCTGCGGTGGCGGCCGCCACCGGACAGCCCATCAAAATCAACAACGAGATCACAATTCACAATCATCCCTCACACGGGCTCGGGCGGTGCGGCAAAGGGCTCGTCTCAGGCCAGCTCGACGCCGGTGAAGCGGCGGCGACCGGAGTCGGCGCCGGCTCCCGTGGAGCGTGAGTGCGAGCTGTGCGAGCATCGCGCGCTGCCGTGGTGCAGCCGCGGCCGCTGACGGAGCCTGCACCAGGGCCGGCCAGAGCTCGAGTTCACGCCGCTGATGCGCGACCCCAAGTGCGCCACCTTCGTCACAGAGGAGATCTGCGAGCAGCTGCGCCGGCGCGCCGCCGCCGAGGACTCCGACAGTGGGGTCGAGGTGGAGGTGAGCGACGCGAAGGACGGCGCGGCCGGCGGCGCCCCGTCCGCCTCCGGTGGCAGCGCGCTCAGCAAGCTCAACGAGGAGACTCACGCCTATTGCCGCGGCGCGGCCCCGCCGGCTGGTGACCGTCCGGAAACCCAAGCCGTTCATGGGTGACTGAGTGAAACGAATGGACGTGCATGTGCGTTTTTGTTCTGTGTATGCGTGCGTTTGGAAATGGCGTCTCTATGTGCGTGCTTGTTTTGTAGAAGCGCTAGCGGTGCCGACGGACCCAGCGATGGCGCGGAGGGCTTTGATGTACCGTGTGTCTTTGATGTTGATGCATTCTCGTGTTTTGTTGGTCGCGCGCCCAGCAGCACCGTGTACATAGCCGGGGGCGTTCCTGCTCGACGCCACGTTCTGTTCGTTGTATCTCAATGCCAGCTTTTTGCTCCAAGTCCCGCTCGTGGAACACGCGACTCGCTCGATTCAAATAATAAATATACACTTTATTTCTCTGACAACCTGATGTCCTCTCTCTCCTCTCTCCTCTCTCCATATAAAAAAATACGGCCACGGTGAGTAGGTGCCGGCCGGCGTTAACTGCCTCCGGCCGGACGGTTCTCAGTTGATATGTGACAACAGTTAGGAATGTAACACCGCCATAGTACCCTCCATCACTGCCGGGCGCGGCGGTCCCCGCACACAGGACCGGCGGGGGGGGGGGTAGCGACCGCCGCCAGCTGCTGGCCGCCCATCAGCTGCAACACCAGCTGCTGCAGATGGACAAGCTGCTGGCGGTCCTCGTTTAGCGCGATCAGCTCCTGTTCGCGCGCCGCCGACACAGCGTTCACAGCGCCGCCGCCGATGAATTGCTGCAGCCGCGCGCGCAGCTCCTTTCGCTCTCTGATGAGACTGAGACTGAGCCAGCCAGAGCCAGAGTCGAGACTGAGCCAGCTGAGTCTTGACAGACCGGACAACACACAAGGCGCCAAAAACGAAGCAGCATGATTGGTCGACACATCGAACCGTCTGTCACAGCGACTGTGCTTGGACCACGGCCATCCCGCAATAGTGACAAGACAAGGCATTATCCTGAACACGCGCAGAATCACGCCCAAAGTCAATCGACACACCAAGAAACGTAAAAACATGCAACGGAACGAGAACTAATTTATTGAAATTAATACACAACCCAACACTAGTCAGAAACGCAGCGATACCATTCAGCGTCCTTGGACATGAAAAGAAAATCATCTAAATACGCCAAACACCTGACGTTAAATCTCGACTCTACAAGTTCACTGAAAGCATCTGTTAGGTACTGCATCTCCTTCGGAGATGCAGTACCTAACTGCATCTCCTTCAGTACCTAATAATGCAGTACCTAATAATGGTACTGCATCTCTACCTAATAATGCAGGAGATGCAGTACCTAATAGGGCCCATTGGTAACAGAGAAAAGGTATAAGCACGTTTTACCATCATACAAAAGACCAAAAGGACGTGTGGAACGTGCGCGAGAAATGTGATGAAATCCATCTTTTAAATCAATCTTGATACCGGTATAAACCCCAAAACGATAACTCTAACGCATCCCCAATAGACGGCAAAGAGCACGGCCGGCACGGCAAGAGGGGCGTAAGCACTGACAAATCGTATACCAGTCTGGCCACAGTCGCACTTTTTGGCACAGTAGCAGGCCAACTAAACAGCGACTCGCTCGCGACCGGTGCCGACGGCGATGAAGATTCGTCGTCACCAGCGTCCTCCCCAGGCGCGCTGCCGACGGGGCACGCCGCCACCGGCCCGCCAGCATCACCGTCGACCGATGATGTCTTCAAAGAAGAGCCGTTCCCCTCAGTGGCGGCAGCAGAAGAGACCGCAGGCGGCGGGGACCCGGAGCAGGGCACAGAGACGTTGCCCCCCGCCGCGCCTCAAACGCCGACCTAAGCCGGACGTCTCGGCGAGCCGGGCCCGCGGCGCGCGGCGGAGCGCGCAGGCTGGACGGCCAGGCGGGGCGCGGGCGTCGCCAGCTCCGCCGTCGGGTGAGCTCCGGAAATGATGATGGAGAATGATGGAAGGATGATGTCATGGAGCCGCGGATGCTGCTCCATGGCAGAAATCACCTCTGCAGCTGCGCCGTGCGGATGTTGGTGGCGAACGCCCCCTGGGCTCTGAGTCAGCTGGCTGGTGGCTTGCGCGCTCTGTGGGAGAGCAGGACAAGGTGTAAAATGCTGCTACGGGACACGTAAGCAGATGTAATACCTCTGCTCGAGCTACCACATGCAGATAAGACTAAAGTCTGTTCCATTTCAAGCCTGCAGCCGAAGTACCATGCTGTAAACAACACATGCTTTATGTGTGCATAGCTCCTACATTAACCCTCGCCCTGGCAGGACATTTTTCATAACACGGCCTGGCAGGGGGGGGGGGTGATGCGACCCCCCTCGCGATTGGCTCCTATGGCACCTAGAAACACCAAATTTGGTAGGTAGGTGGGCCCCCTGGAGTTCTCGCCCCTGCGCAAATTTGGTTGCTCTAGGTCAATATTTAGGGGGGTTTTGGGGGGTATAAATGTAAAAATTTTGCTGCAGTATGCTCGAGGCACGTCCATGGTCAAAATAATAGATAAAGCCCAATTTGAATAATTCTAGCAGAAAGACACAAGAATCACCCCTCAAGCAAAAAAGAAAAGTTTGTCATAAATAGGTTGCCAGTTCTCACCTGCTTCCACTCCACCGCCGTTTACCAGCTCGCAGCTGATGTCCATGCGGTGTTGACACCAGCGGCGCAGGTGACGTCGCCGTCGTCTCCGGCACTGGCAGAGTCGACGCCATGGCCGTCGCTGGATGGTCCAGTGCCGCGGATGGTCCAGCTGGTGACGGCGTCACGGCCGTCGCTGGATGGTCCAGGGCCGCGGATGGTCCAGCTGGTGACGGCGTCACGGCCGTCGCTGGATGGTCCAGGGCCGCGGATGGTCCAGCTGGTGACGGCGTCACGGCCGTCGCTGGATGGTCCAGGGCCGCGGATGGTCCAGCTGGTGACGGCGTCAGGGGTTCCGCGGAACTCGCAGGTGACGTCGCCGTCGTCTCCGGCACTGGCAGAGTCGACGCCACGGCCGTCGCTGGATGGTCCAGTGCCGCGAATGGTCCAGCTGGTGACGGCGTCACGGCCGTCGCTGGATGGTCCAGGGCCGCGGATGGTCCAGCTGGTGACGGCGTCACGGCCTTCGCTGGATGGTCCAGTGCCACGGATGGTCCAGCTGGTGACGGCGTCACGGCCGTCGCTGGATGGTCCAGTGCCGCGGATGGTCCAGCTGGTGACGGCGTCAGGGGTTCCGCGGAACTCGCAGGTGACGTCGCCGTCGCAGGTGACGTACCAAGGTTCTGAAATCACAGTGCAGAGAGAGGTTGGTGAACTACCAGAGTGTTTACCCGTGCCCTGCTGGGGGGGGGCGTGCCAATAATGTCTTTTTGTTCCAATGGGGCGGATTTGCAAGCCTTCGCCCCATCAAAAGACGGCACAATTACAAAACAACGCACAACGTCATAACGTCACAGCCCACAGGCACTCATCTCCATACTATTGACTGACGCACCACCCCAAGGTCACATGCACTTGGCCCATGCCGAAAAAGATATTATAACATTAGAACACATTGTGTCACATTATAAGCGTCCTTCTCTTTGTCAGTGGCGCCCAGCTCTGCACCATATACCGCCCCATGGGTAAGCCGCCTCTCACTCAGACAAATAATAGAACCACCCCACCGGCACGCGATTACGCGTTCGAGCAAAATATGGCCGTCCGCACCAGCTGCTTTCGCGTCTAACACTACCGCTGGAATTCTCTCGGCCACGGAGCGCGCTTACCTTCGAGGGTACAGCCTCCGGCTGGAGGAAGCGATTTGGGGTGTAATCGCTTGATTTCTCAAATTCTTGGTAATAAAGCAGGTGGTTTCTCTGTGCATTTACATTTGTGCCACAATAAATGGTGACAGCCTACATAGGTTGTTACGAGCAAGCAAGCGAAGCGAAGTCTTTTCAATACTAGATGCAGGCAGCGCTCGTGCGTTGCCTTGGGCCAGAATTGGAGGGATGGTGCCGAGAGCATGCCGGGCCAGGGAAAAAACAATAAGTTAGGTCTTGGGGGTAGACTGAAAGATAACCGAGACCTTTTGAGACTGTAACGAACTGAAACGTCTAAAGAATTATTGAAAGCACGTGAAATTGATATGGAAATCTACCTACAGTATAGGATATGAATTCATTGCACGTGCAAAGTGAATGTCCCAAGCACCCCGGTTCATTCATTTTCATAACATACTGTAGAGTGTGTCTAGTTCTAGCAGTGTGCCAATTTTGTGTCGATAGCTGAAAAATTCCCGAAGTCAGAGGACCCCTTGTCAAGAAAAGCTACAGTTCTCTCGCTCGTTCGGTCTTCGCCCAAAAGGCGTTTATCTGGTAAAATATAACCCTCATGATACTGCATTTCAAATACTGCAATGACGGTGGCGAGATCACATACCTGTGTAGTTTCCATTTTGCACCCTGCTTATGTTGGGGCTTGTAATCAAAGTGTTGCTTGCATGTCTTGACACAACAATGGTTTACCATGTTGCTGCTGTAAAAGAAAAGCTGTATTTGTCATTTAAAGTTGTTATACAATTAATATTAAGAGGTGCAGCATGACAGCTTTCAGCATGTCTGAAAAACGTGGCTGCCACGTTTTTCAGACTGAGTCAGGTCAACGGTCGCTGAATGGTGATTGACAAATACTAATTTTTTATAACTATTTATAATTATAAGCATTCATATTTAAATTATTTATTCCTAGTTTGGTCATAGCCCTGCTCACTTCAACTGTTTATTGGTCGATCAATATTTGGATTTGCGCCTAGTAGTTTCCCAGTCTGCAAAGCATTGCAATTTTGACAAAAGCTTGTCGGTGCAGGCTTGTTCAGCTGGTGCTGATCTGATGCGTCGTGGTGCGGATTTGGCTGGTAGGGTGCAGATCTAGTGTAGCCCAGTGTCCCAAGATTTGGGTGGAAAGTGCAATCCTTGTGAAATTGAATAGTCCACTCGGTCCACTCTCACCTTTAATTTTCCAGGACAAGTTGCCCTCCCAACTTTAACAACTAAGATCATCCGCATGTACATTTGCTGGCTGGCTTGTACCTACATTCAAATTCCATTAAATCATCGCAGCTCCCACATCCTGTAACATTCACATAGAAAATGGTGATCATGTTTTCATTCTTCTTTGTATCTTTCTGACTGGCAATTTTCCACTTTCAGTCCTCTTTGAAGTGAGGAATTTTACCCTCGAACACCCAAGCCAAAATATCCCTAATTTTGGGACACTGGTGTAGCACATTGCAGATTTGCTTGTTGATGGACATGACAGACCAGACAAGATATATGAGGAAAATTGAAAAACATTGCTGAAGCTGAAGCCATACTTTGCAGCCGTGCGCAGCCATGCTGCAAAGTATCGCTCGCATGTCGACGAAGGGCACTAGCCCAAGTTCACAATCCGCACCAACCCTTCAAAACCGGAAAATCCACCCCAATGTGGGCTGAGGGTAAAAGATCCGCACAGAACCCAAAAATGACCAGCAGTTGCACACTCATTTAAACCCAGGGGACACTGAATTACACATAAAAGCTCCAGCAATGTTTTTCGATTTGCCTCATCAATATCGTCTTGTCCGTCAAGTCCATCGCCAAGCCAAATCTGCACTGTGATCCACTAAATCCGCACACCAAGCGAAATCCGCACCACGCCGCAACAGCTGAACAAGCCCGCACCGACCAGATCTTGTCGAAATTGCCATACCTTGCAGACTGGCAGTTTCCAGCATGGGTAGTTTCCCCAAGTCAATTGTATAAATTTGAATTTTGGCATGCTCATCCTCAATTGCATGATTAGGTATTCACTATGCCAGCATTTGTATTTATAACTTCAAGTTCAAAAAAGAGATAATCGATCTTTTTCCAAAACTAAGTGCACACCCGTTACTTGTTACTTGAGAGATTCCGGCACCGTTGTATATCAACTTACCACGATGAAAACCATTAAATATTAGCGCACAGAGACCGTAGAAATGAGGATGAAACCACTTTCAGCATCGCCTATGAATTAGCAATACATTTGACACGTGCCCCGAAAAAGTCTTCAATTTTATCGCGTCGTGTTTGAAACAGAGGTGGAAAATATAGCCTTGGGTGGAAACATGCAGAACATGGTAGCAAACCAAAAATCCTTTACCACTTACCTTTGTCATAGGGTCTGCTCCCTTCACTAGTGTTGAAGAGATCGGACCTCAGGTCTTCCCTTTACCACTTCCCTTCAAGTAAAAAAAAGCATTGTCTTCTACCACAAATTTGCTAATTAACAATTTATCGCCTTTGAATTGAATATGTGTGAATAAGAAAAGATAAATAAAACCCTTTTGAGGAGTTTTTCCTTAAAATTTGTATAAAATGCTCTTAATTAAAATCGACAAAGTTTTTCCTTTCCCTGAAATCCTTCACAATGCTAAGAGATCGGCCTTTCTTCATGCTAGTATACTAGGAAACCTTCAACATTAATTTGCTAAATGTACGTCTTTGCTGTTGAAATTAATATTGGTATTACGAAATTTGTCACAACATTCAAGAAAAATAACAATGAATCTCTATGATGCCAAAATGTAATGAAAAGTGTCATACATGCTATCGTAGTGATGAGCATTTTCACCGGCGAAAAAGATGGCATCAAATGGAACTTTGGGAGGCGATTGCGCGTTACAGGGTAAGGATAACGGAAAATGGACTGGACATCTGTGGTGAGGGCGGGCACCTCTTACGAAAACCGGTAAGTGAAAAAAAGGTGACAGTCTACCTTTAAACATCGTTTGGATGCGTATAAGTGGCGCACATTCAAATTTCCAAAATTATGTGGTCACATGCTTAAATTAAGTCTTCGCTTCTTCGATGAAGAGTAAAAATATCAGGTAATATCACAGACGTCAGCAATGATAAAAAAGACAGATGCCTATCACATGCGCTTCAACATCATAAGCAAATCGTCAAAACGGCGAAACAACATGCATACAAAAAATACATATTATAATTCCGCAGGTCTGCACTTTTTCACTACTTCAGCACGACGGTACACATTTGCCAGCGGTACACCGTGTTTTGTATTTAAAAGCTATATAGCTATATTTAAAAGTATTTCGAAAGCTACCATAAATAAAAAGTACCTGGTGTTTCGAATATTCGTCCTAAACATGATTCCTTCCCAGGTGAATAACAATATTTATCATTATATAAACCAATGCAGATATTTGTTCCCAGACTTAACCTGACATCGACGTGACTTTTTAGACCTACGTATGGAAAATTTACCACAAAATCCGTCTCGAACATTCCTTAGGAAGTTTGACGAGAAGCCAGAAATCTGCATCCCCCCTCAGTGCTTCGTGTATTCATCTCAATACTTCAAGAAGTCCGGTTAAAAAATATGCGCACAAAACGCACATTAACCAATTTCAAACGGAAAAAACTTTCACCAATCACACGCAAAGCCGAGACGAAACTTCATCTGTCATTCAACTGTATAAATGATAATGTGAATTTACCACGAGCACAGAGTAGCAACTAGAGATGTCATATACCGATACCAAACCGATACCAACTTGGTATTTGGTATTTCAATCCCCCTATATTTGATATTTTGTTGGTATTATGAACCCATACTAATATATGACGCAGATAAATTGGTATAAATTTGGTATTTTCCTCATGTTCCTAGGTTGGTTCGGTTTCGATATTTCTCACGGTTTTGGTTGGTATTTTGTTTGGTATCGGTACTCTGGTTTTCTATAATTGACATCAATAGTAGCAACCAACAGCGCAGAACTAACATGCTCGGTCCGAGCTCAACTCGGGAGATGTCAGCTCACACCGCGCCGAACAGTTTCACAAACGGCAAATTACCGAGGTTACCACAATCACGAATATGAATGATCATTATGATCTGAATGATCATACAAAATACAAATACTTGTAATTGTAAGAAGTGTTGCCCGCATTTGTAATTGTAAAGAAGTGTTGCCCGCAAATCGTAGTCACTTATGTTCACAATAAAGTAATTGAGGTCTGATGCGTGAAATTCATGGCATGCGAATCGGTAACCAGTAATATCGCGGTAGGGGAAGACAACAGGTCATGTATAATGTGCAGAAAAGCCCGCCAAACAAATACATCGTCATGCATCATGTTACGAATGCTAGTCAAAAATCGCCGGAACTATCGTTCTCATACATACGGCCACGGGAGAGGGGGGATGAACGTCACAATGAGCAGTTGCACAGCAAATGGATTTACAATTATCTTTTACACTTTGATCATAACGAACTTTACCTAGCACCGGTATAATTCCTCCCCGCTTGCCGCTCTTGTCTGTCATCTGATGATCCTCACAACTATTTCAATGATGAACTTCATCACCCCGACCCGCACTCTATTTCCACCGAAGTGTTCACTCCATGCAGCACTGTCAATCCCGTGACAGAAGGTGCCGCGCCGACGTCCGCCGTCACGCCACCATGCCTCCATTAACCTTTGGGTGACAATCCACGATTAACTGTAACTGGTAACTGTAACTGTTAACCACGGTTTAACCACGGTAACTGTGCCGCCTCCTTGGGGCACGCTTATTATACAGCCCGCACCGGGGCCGCCGATTTGAATCCGGTCATCTTTCTCCCCGCGCAAGCAGGGACTTCCACACTGCAACTTCGAGCTGTGTCGCCGGTCTTGAGCACAGGGCCGACTGGCTATCCGTAGTTTTGCAGATGACTGGTGGGTTCCCCCTGTTCATCCTCTGAGTGGTCCAGCGGCCCGCGCAGCGTTGCGACGAGGTCCACCATCTCGGTTCTGTAGCTGCAGCATGTGACTGGCCCGCCTGAGCTCCTCGACGTCGGCCCGCGGCCCGAGAGAGAACAAGCTGGGCCGACTGGCCGAGCTAGGCTAATTGCACCAGGTCCATGCCGCCGGCCGGTGCCGTGCATGGGGCCTCTGGACTGGGAGATGATCGGATACAGCGAATGCTGCCACCGCCGCCCCAGGTGAGCTACACGTACCACCGCCACTCCACCGGTCCGCTAGGTAAGCCCTGCCACCGACGTGGAAAGCGAACTGTAACGCACAGGGAACGAAACCCATCAGCAATCGGTGTAGGGGAGGGGATAACATTGCACAAGCGGACAGGAAACAGCACTGATATAGCATCTAGATAAGGTTAAGTGGTATAAATGAAAGACACACACACACGCACGCACGCACGCACGCACGCACGCACGCACGCACGCACGCACGCACACACGCACGCACGCACGCACGCACGCACGCACGCACGCACGCGGTGCCGGAAGTCTGAGTCGCCCAAATCTTACCGACTCCGGATCGGTGTCAATCCACTCCTGATCGGTGTCAATATAGCATGGCCCAAGACACTAAAACGTTCGTTGATGCTTCAAAGCCAGATTTGGTCGTAGTAAAGACAAAGCTTACGTTTTGAACAATCCTTTTCAGTTAAAATCAGAAACAACACTTGTGCCAGAACCTCTTCATAGCTCTGCACATTACTTTAAAACATATTGCAATTTTAGGTCTTGCAATCTAAGAGCGTGCAAACTTACTTACTTACTTACTCCTCGGCGACAGCTTCGTCGACGGAACGGGAGCCGAAGATCCGCCTCCATGCCGTCTCCGCTCCTCCCAACGTGCAGATGTCGGCCAGGGTTCGTCGAGACACCGTCCCGCACGCGAGCTGGCACGCCATCCTCCCACGGGGGCCGCAGAGGCCCGATCTCGCGATCCAGCCCGGCCTCAGACCGACACGGGCCATCCTCCCGACTTCCGCTTCTCCTGGATTTGGCTTCCTGGCATCGTCAGTTTCCATCTTGAATTTGAGTAGTTGCTGGAAGTCGGAAGCCGAGAGGACGATCCTGCTGGTAGCGGGCGCGCCATTGCCCGCCAGCCGGTCTGCCTTCTCGTTGACCTCCACGCCAGCGTGGCCGGGGCAGTAGAGCCAGGTGATGCGCCTGTCTGTCCACCAGAGCGTGCAAAGAATTGTTGCAGGCAAGATGAAACATTTCTGACAAACCCGGAGTCAGTCATCAAATCGTCCATCGACTCTGCACACCTGTCAGTAGTTGTGTCGGTTGTAAAATGCACAAAGGTGTTTCAAAGTAGCTACAGCAAGCAAAAGACTGGCTCATCAACCTGACCTACCCGCGTGACTTTCATGCTGCTGAGCTGACGTTTGTCATCGATGCTGCCGCCGGCCGCTCCAGCAGCCCAGTCGCGAGTGTACGATCCGCAGCTCTGCGTTGGCCCGGCTTCAGCTTCACGTTCTGAAAATGGGATCCATTTCATATCAATTCATTGCTGATTGAGGATTATCAATGGACAGGTGACATATTATAAGTGCATGTATGGCCTAAACTTTTGAATTCATTTAAAAGGGGGAAAAACGCAAGAAAATGCGTGAATTGAAAAAATTTTGCATACAAAAAATTATACATGCACTATAATATGTCATTGCTGATTGTGATGGTTCACCCTTGCCCGCACATGCCATTTTCCCATCCTAGAGCGCACATGGGGGTGGTTGCCACCCCCTCGCCATTTCGTTCCTGTTGGAGATAGAGCTTAGCGGTGAAGACCAAAAAGATTCTTTGGGAAGAGAAAAATCCAATGATACCCAGTTTTACCTTCTCAGGTCAGTCATTGAACTTCCAGGTCAGGCCAAACTAAAAAAATGTTGCTGTTTTGGGTCACCGTTGGATATCAAGTGCGCTGCTTATCA